TTTTGGACAAAGAAGACAGGTGGTTTGAAAGGAGCGTGAAGGAATGTTAAAAAAGAAAAACCAACCTTAAACCTTGTTTGTCAGGTTTCGACATCGACAAACAAGGCTTTGTTTTTGGTCCACTGTATTAAGCCTCGAACTCAACGCTATTTCTGACATTTTGGATTGAAAAATCTTCCTGGATGGGAAGCAAAATGTCTTCAATTTTGGAAACAAAGTCCAGTGGATTGTTTTTTGGAATAGAGGTAAAAGAACATGAAGGTTAGCTATTACTCACATTATATCAGTTACTGGGCTCTAGATATTATTGTAGGGCATACCAATAATTAAATATTAAATGCACCAATATTAGCAACAAACATAGCATCTCTGCGCCAAATCTGCTCACCTATTGTCATATATGACTCCTTACAATTTCTGGATTTTAATCAAAACGTATCCATGAAAAGTAAATGGGTTTTAAATGCAATTTTTAAATGAATTCCACATCATTTCTGGACCAGCCTGTTTTAATTTTGTTTTTTAATGTGAATTACTGAGGTTCTCACCAACATCTGGAGGGGTGTTATGTCCGTAGAGACATTACAACTAGATTAAATTAGATGATAATTTTACCTGCTGTACCTGAACTACCATTAACTGGATTTATAATTTAGTAGTGTTTGTTATTTAATATTTAAAAGAACATGTTAATAATTGTTCTTAAGGTAACAAACATTGTTTTGGAAACAACCAATTTTAACCAAGATGTTTTAAAGTCCGATATTCAACCAGAAGCTTGTCTATGAAAAGGGATTTTCTGATGAAGCTGAGGAGAATTTAACCAAATATGTATATATGGATTTATATACATGTGCTTGTAGGACAACATGCAGCCTTTACCAGGTTTAAACTGTTAACTTGTTCTTTTAATCTTTAGAAATCAACATGAGATTAATGAAAGCGGTTCAGTGATGCCGTGTTTCTGTTTGCAGGTATCAGAACAGGAGATGGATCAGATTATCGCTCGATCCACAAACAAGGACAAACTGATCAGAAACAGACTCTCCTCTCATCACCAAGGTCTGATTTTCACCCAATGATAGCTGTGTTTATAGCTATAATGATTTAGAAGCTTTAGCTAACCACTCTGACTCGAACCCAAAGGTCTGTCCAATAAGAGTGCCTGGGCGGCGGCGCGGTCGAGGTCTGGAGACAGCCCCTCCGCCCTCAGCTGGACCATGAAGAGGTTCCTGGAGCCTGCCAGCAGAGTAAGTGTCGATCCAGGATCTATTTGAATCTCTCTGCATTGAATTCATTGATCCCGGATGGTTGGTGATATAAACTGGGGTATATCTCATATGCCTGACGTACGAAAAACTTGCAAAAACGCTGGCATGCCTTCGATTAGTTATGGGTAAGTTTTATATAAGTTATGAACACGCCGAAACACGCTGGTATGCATCAACATACGGCGAGTACGTCGATAGGAGCAGCTATGCGCCTGAGGGGAGCAGCTTTTACTGATGGCCAAGCATCATTTCATGGGCATTACGCTGCCGTGTGTTATGCATAAGTTAGGCTGTCGTTGGACATAAGTTCTGGACTCGTTATAAATACGCTATGTATACGCCCACAATTTGAAAAAATACGTAGAAAGTTCAGCGTATGGCAGCGTTTTAGGACATTCTGGGATATCCGGCATACACCAGCTAAATCAGCAAGGTGTGACAGGGCTCTAACTAAAGTAATCGTTGTCCACATAAGGCGGGGGCCTAGTGGTTAGGGCGTTGCGCTTGGAATCGAGAGGTTTGAGTTCAAGCCCCACTCCCACAGCCTCCCTGAGCAAAGACCCTTAACCCCACGCTGCTCCCCGGGCGCCGCAAAATGGCTCCCCATGGGGATGGGTTTGTGGCAGTGTAATGACAAGAAAAAATAACCATCCATCCTCTGCTAAGATATGGCTTTAAAGGCAGATTTTGATTGGTTCTCTGACCTTGAACAAACCCTCCTCTCATGCTGTTTTTGTCCCATGTTCTTGATGCTGATGCAGGCATCCCTGAGCTCAGAGACAGAGCTTTCCCAGTACTTCCCTCATGACCTTTCTGGCCAGCCCGCCGCCCCCAAATCCGGTCTGAAGAGCTCAAACAGTGATCAAGGGCTTCACCAGCTGGGCTTCAGTACCTCCACAGAAGACGAGCTTTCACAACCCCGAGGTAAAACTGTTTTGGTTTCGTGTGACGTTTGTTTATTTCTAAACGCTGCATCATTGTTTATGTTTTTTTGTATTTATGCTTTTTCTCAGGACTTGGCACCTCCGTGACGAACATAAACCACGACCCTGAAAGCATCGCATCGAGCAGCCAGACCTCGGTCCCCTTCCAGCCCTTTGTGGAGCCCCTTTGCCCCGCCCCCTCTGCCCACAGCCCCACCTCAGTGCGGAGCCCCCTGCTCCGCCAGCGACGGGTCATATGCTTAGAGGAGGAGCTTAGTGACAATGAGGCCCACGAGGCTGAGTTACTAAAGCCCCCAAAACAGCCCGATGTTCCACCCTCAGCACAGGCATTGGATCCCACACTGAACCTCTGTCCCAGGGAGGGGGAAGGAGGTTTTTACACCGTTACCCTCAAGAGAAGAGAGGATGAGGCATTCGGACTGGACCTGGAGATCATGTCCTCTCCTCTGACGGTCATGGTTGCTGGTTTAAAGCCTGACCGGGCTGCAGAATGGGTTCGTCTGAATGAGCTTTGGTCTAATTTCATTCCTAAAATGCCGTTATAAGACGTTGTCTTCTTGATCTTCTAGAACGGTGAAAGCAAACTCTGCCCAGGAGACCAGATCATGAAGATCGGAGATAAAGCTGTGAGCTCTTCAAATTACCAGGAAATCTGTGAACTTATGCACAACCTTCCAATGACTCTGTCTTTGGAGGTGAGGCGTGCTGCTTCAGGTAAGAAGCACTAAAGGAAGGCGGTTGATAAGCATTCAGTCTAAAAAGAGACGAGTTGATTTATGTTTTAATGGTTCATTTAGGCCACAGGTTTGGCTTGCTGTCCTTCCCTGCATATAGGTCGTGCAATTTTGTCATCAAAGCTGAATCCAGAACTTTAAACCTGTACATCTACACAAACATCAGACATGTGTCGGGTTTGCAATGAGATCAGTGTCCTGTGTGTGTAGCAGCAGGAACAGGCAGCGGTTCAAGTCTCGGGTCAAAAAGGGTCAAAGACAACAGTCCAAATGTAAGAAGATGGAAGTTTAACTAAGGGTTGTTTATGTATGTTCTGCCTGTGGAGATCTCCTGGTTTAGTTTGGACTTTATCCACCTTTGATGACCACTGAGTTTTCATCCAAAAAAGTGCAAACTCCTCTGCACCTCCTACTTAACTTGCAGCACGAGGAGCTTCCAGTGGCATGCTCATCTGTTAATACAACGCGGAAGCCAGACCAAACCAACTCAGTCTGTCGATTTTAAATGGTTAAAACTGCTTCTTTTTTCATTTTTGGCCATCCAGACAGAATAATATTATGATCAACTGCATCAAACCCAGCACTGAGATCTACAGATAGAAGTCCATTATCTGAGACCATGAGAATACCATTAGTGACTTTTTCAGTGCTATGATTAGCTCTAAAAACTGAATGAAACTCTTCTGAAAGTTATTCTGGTGTAAGAGGTGTCACTCTGGCTTAGCAACAATTTTCTTAACAATTTTAGATCAGAAAGGAATATCATATATTCCTATATCTATAATTGACCAAGTCATCTGGGTCAAGAGTTGTTTTCTTAACATTTCTTTTCTGAACACCTGCTCATGAGTAGTTCATCAGTTTTCCCTCCTGTGTTGTTTTCATGCTGTAGGTATAGATTACTGTCACGTATAAAGATTGATCTGTTCGGATCGTTTTAGAGTTCCTTAAATCAGAGAATATTTTCTGAAGTTAAAAATCCTCTCAGAGAAACTTTTAGGCAGCACCCAGCTTTAGTTCAGAGACTCCAACTGTTTCTATTAGCTCTACTTCTGTAGAGTCAGGCTCATTCAGGACTTTATCATTGAACAGAGATCAGAGTCAGAACTAGGGTTGGGAATTGATAAAATTTTCCGGATTCTGATTCCCTTATCGATTCTGTGCAACAATTCGATTCTTTATCAATTCTCTTATCGATTCTGTGAAACAATGAAGTGTATGGTGACATTCGTCTACCTTCGCCTGGGACATTCTATTCCTGCCTGCCTCGGGGAAACCAAAGGCAGTGAACGGGAGCTGCCAGCCTCTGAGCCAGCCAGGCTACCCGTCTCCTCACAGTCATCTAAATCTAATGGAGAAGGCATCCGTTCAATGAAAGAGCATTACTGTACAATTTCAGGAAATAAACTCATCTCACCCTGATCTAAATAAACGACAGTCATCTTTCTCTCACCCACTGAATTCCGGGGCAAATTCGTAGCATGTTTAATAACCCCAAAGAGAGCTAGGAAAAGGATTTATTTCCAGAAATGGCATCTGATTTACTAGGAACCACATCAAGCACAGCCAGTGATAGAGTTGCCTTCCATGCTAGTCGTAACTTTAGCTTCTGTCCAGAAGCATGTTGGATGTATTTCCTCCCGTGGATGTATTTGCCACTTGTTGCGCCTAGTTGCTATCTTTCTCTTCCTTAAAGTGAAGCCAATCTTTCGATCACTTTGACCGCTTTTGTTTTGCTTTTATAGACTACGCCCGGTCACGTCGTACTTGTTTACTGAATGCCGTGTGCGTGACTTGCGTTAAGAATGTGACGTAATTCGTGCTGCCCAGCGCTAGGCTCTGGTGCTGCCTGGAATCGTTAAGAGAATCGTTAAGCGAGCTGCCAGACGGTGCCATGGAATTGGAACACACGGAACCGGTTCTGAACAGAAACCGGTTTTCGATTCCCATCCCTCGTCAAAACCACCTTAAATCAGCAGCTCCTTGGGTAAATATGATGGTGAAGCAAGCATTCTGGGGACTGAATTCTGATTTAAGGGCAGATTTTACTTCTGCAAATGCACACATCAAATGTCGCTTGGGTCTGGTCGCAAACCAGTTTTGCTGGTATGCTTCTGCACCGTCGGTCTGGAATTTCTAGGGATGCGCAGCAGTTTCCCCCCAAAGTGCAAAGGGGAGCCTATTCAAAAACTCGCGAGAACTTCGGCGGATGGTCACGAGAACTTTGGCGGCGCCGGCGGGAGTATTTATCTTCCAAAACAACAATGGCACATCTGCAAGATATCACGGTCAAAGAGATGAATCTCGAGTTGCCATACATCGAAAACCAACAGGTTCTGTTAATGGAGTTGGCAAAAAGACCGATTAACCTTTCGTAGTAGTTGTCTAGTGTAGTTGTACCTCGGTTTTTAAAAATGGCACTCCCCTGCACCGAATCGAGAAGGACGACAACACAGACAGCTGGAAAGGCATACCAAGGACCACTCACAGCTGCTCTTTGTCTGCGCACTTCTGCTTGAGGTCTGCGCGGGTTTGCGACCGTCCGACGCATAGTCAGGATTTTTTTGAGGTGCGTGATGACTGTTGCAGAACCTCTGCACAGGGGGCGTGGTCACGCACAGAGATAGATTTGATGGTTGCAAAGGCTATGCGTCAAAAGCATAAATTGGCCGTAATACTCAGAAACCAGGCTGAATGCATGTGTGTCGTATTGAACGCAGATATGCCCCCGCCCCTTCCGCAGACACTTTGGTAGACCTCTCCAAAATTGTAGGTGACCACAGACAGTACCGCAGACAGGAGGCCTCTGATTGCTACATCCGCTCTACACTATACCTGTTTGGTACCTTGCCGGCTTGTTTTGTTTGTATTGTTGCCATTGTGGAAAATGACTCATGAAGTTGGACCAGCTAGAAGAGCGAGGTGCGCAAGAAAGCTGGGAACCTATTTCCACCTGGATCCCTGCTCTTTTTCACCTTCATATCCCTCCATTTTCACACAAACTTTTTCCACTTCCTCAACTCCACGGCCGTATCTAGACCCACGGCTAGTTCCTGATTGTCCCTCTTGCATTGTGGCGTGGAATAACATAGCGCTAGCCTCGTGAGACCATCCTGATCTCGTGAGCTTTCAAGATTTCACTCGCTAATCAGTCTGGAGACTCTCCGTTAAAGAAAATTTGGAACCGTTCACCAAACGAACGTCCAATCAGCGTTGGCTTTGAGGCGAGTTGAGGTGTGACGCAACAAGAAGTGCGACAGTTCAGTCTAAAGAACATAGCGGCTTCAGTTGATGAAACTAGCGTTAGCGTGGCTATCTAGCAAGTTTTAAGTATTTCTTCACTGAAAGAAGAGCAAAACACTGCTCTGGAGGTTTTTCTCAGAGGAAAAGATGTTTTTGCTCTTCTCCCGACTCGTTTTGGCAAGAGTAGCCTGGCTTGTGGTTGTGTTTTCGTCGTCGCTCTGTTAGTACGTCATATGCTTCGTTGATCTGATTGGTTTATTTGGCCCGTCTCTCACCAACATAGGCCAATGAGCTAACCAGTTTTTACGCCCCTCCCCTAAATTACTTCAACAGAAGGTTTCCAGATGGATATGCGGAGCAAATCCAGCAAATCCATCTGGCGGAGTCAGGTTAGTACTTAAG